CTCTAGCTAAAATATACGAAATCTTTGTTCTTGGTTTAGGTCCGGTTTACTCAGTTATCTTGGTGTTTTTGGTACATTCGTGTAATAATGAGACATTACTTTATCAAATTGATCATGCTTTTTTAATAACCTGGGTATATTTCCTATATTGAAACCAAAACTTATCCTCAAATTTTATAAACAACTCTAGTAAACGCTGTAATTTGAATGACTTTTATTCCGTTAAAAGGGTTAATTAAATATCAAATATGAAGTCATGCGTTAGGCTCTTGTAGAGTCGTAGGTGGAGTGAAGATGATGCTAATATCATATATGGTTAAACTCTAAAGACTGAGAGAGCAAGAGTACCAAAAGATTCAAATAGTAAAATAATTATTACTTCTAAAATAATTATATTACATATTCTGAAAATATGTCGAGAATCTGAATCATGTATTCGATTCTTAACTGATTTACAGTATTTACTTTTCTAATTTTCCGATTTTGTTTCCATCTTATTTAACTAAATATTTTTCAGAATATATATTCCAAAATATGTTAGGATATATATTCTACATTTTTCAGAACATGTAGTAAATCGTAGGATACATACAATTCTGAATTTTACAGAACATAGAACAATTGAAGAATTTCTATTCTGAATTTCGTAAAACATACAACATTTTGTATTCTAAAACTTTTAGAACACGTTTTTAGTTCTAAAATTCGTAGAACATGTACAAACTGGTAGAATGGATAATCTAATTTTTTCAGAACATGTAAAAATTGCAAAAATCTAAATGTTTTAGAAATAAGAAAACGTATTCTAAACTTTTTGGAACAAAAATCATCTATATGAAAAACTATTATTTTTCAAAAAAAATGAAAAGCAACTTCTTCATATACAATTCATAATGAATTATTAACATTATTTTCTAATTTTCAACTTTTAAAAATGCTTAAAATTTTGATTTATATGTTAATAGGGGTAGTTTAGTCAAGATTGACAATTTCAAATAAAAGGTATAGATAGACAAACTTTTTTAAAAATGTCTCTTTTTCCAATTTTCCCTATAATTTAACTCAAAAACAATTTGAATCAATTTTATTTAATTCATTGTTTAATTAGTTAACAATGAATTTTAATGATGATTTTACGTGGAACTATTAACAACGAGGCAATTGATCCATCGACGTAATCTGAAGAGAATGATTCGGTGGTGCATCAATTTGACGAGAAACATTCAAAGAAAAGATCCATAGCTGTTCCTCTCTCTCGATAAAGGATTAGGGTTCGATGCCCTTTCCCATTAACCACCATAACATATGTATATATACATGAGTGAGTGTATCGTATGTTAGGATATCTAAAGTATCCTACCTTAACATATATGACAATACAAACTACAAAGAGATATGTGTATATCCTAACTTTGTTAGATTAGATATGAATATATCCTTTGTCCAAAAAAAAAAAAAAAAAAAAAAAAGATATGAATATATCCAAATATTTATTGTTATTATTCAATAGTTTCACTTGTACACTATATAAACTCATGTCAAAATGATGAACTCCTCAAAGAGATTTACACAATCTTACATTGTGTTGGACATAGAGAAACTAAACTACGATACTTGAAGAGAGTTGTTTGAAACTCTTTGTCTTACCTTTTGGCGTCATGGGTCATCTCGATGGCTCATCCTCTCCTACGTAGCAGATCAAGACCAATGGAAGGAACACGATGTACTTGTCAATATGTGGATCTACGACACCATCTCTGAATCCATCCTTGAACTTTGGTTAGCAATCAAGAATCTCTTCCGTGACAACAAAGAGGCTCGTGCCTTGCAGCTCGACAACGAGTTGTGTACTCTCTCCGTTGGTGATATCTGCATCCATGATTATTGCAAGAAGCTAAAGTCCCACTCTGACCTCTTTGCTAATGTGGATTCACCTGAACGCACACTAGTGATGCACATACTTAATGGCTTCAATGACAAATTTGATTCAATCATTAATGTCATTATGCACAAGACCCATTTTCCATTGTTCTCTGTGGCCAGATCAATCCTCATCATGGAAGAGGATCGTCTCAAGAAGCTTGTCCGACCTACACCAACCCGCCCTCACCACAACTCCACTTCTGACATACTCTACACGTCTTCTGAGAATCAGTCCCGCTATAACAACAAAAACAATAGAGGTGGACGCAGATGTGGACGTGGAGGCCAACAAAAAAAACATAATTCATTGAACAGAAAATCAAAATTAATAAAAATTCACACGTCAATATTTTTAATCTCATGTACTCTTTTCTAACAAATATATTTGGAAAAGGTATATTGAGACTGAAAATACATTGTATTAGCAAATGATTTCATTGTGGCATAAAGCATTTTTGGATTTATAGAGATGATGGGCTTTACCATATTAATGGGTCTGCATGAAAGATATATAAGTAGCTATCAATTGTATGTTTAACGAAATTTGCGCAATTATCAAAAATCATTTAATTCGTCTACTCAGTTCCATTAACGTAAAACACAAAATAAATAAAAGATCTTCTTTTATCTAATTCCATTAACATAACTTTGAGAAAACAAAAGATCTTTAACCTCGCTACTCTTCAAACTCTTTCTCTATTATTATTTTTTTTTAAATTGCCCTAATCATGAAAATTGATTAAATTTCCAAGCTAACCCCACGAAAGAGCGATTGGATATTAAGGGTCAAGGTTTTGAGTACTTGGATAACTTGTGATGAAATGATAAAGATGGTAATGGTTCTAGCGGATGAAAATGTACCTTTTTATCTTATGAACATAAACCCGAGTCATTTTTAGTTTATGATTCGATTTAGGTTGAAGTATTAAGAGGAACAATTTTTATATAAGGGGATAGAATTGAGATAACTATAGCTTCTCATTTGAATAACTCTGATATCGTAATTAAAATAGAAGATGCTTACTGGTTTGACATCTCGGACTTCAAACTCATCACTCCTATGTTGAGACAGAGGTATATGAACCATCGTGACCAAATCAAAGCCACAACCAAGACTGAAATGATATTTTATTTCCCAGTAGCAGAAAAATACTTTTAAGGTTCTAAATTTTCACCCATGTGGCAAAACAGTTGCTTCAAACTATGTTAATTATAAATCACAGACCATACGATATGTGCTACATAACTGCCAGAGAGTGTTTGCCCAACCGACCGAGTTAGGTGGACCATATTAGTCTTCGTTGGATATTGCTAGTGTTCGTTGGACAGTGTAATCTCAATAAAACAAAATCAGAAGTAAGACAAACCATAAATACTAATGACTAAACCGAATTGTTCGTGCTGTAGCACGGATTGCTACCTAGTATAGATTGTTTTTGTTTTTTACTTTTTATTTTTTTTGTTATATATTTTGCTGTCTTTTAGTCTGTTTGGCAACATCTTTAATATCACATTTTGTTTTGATATGTTTGACTACAGCTTGTGATCCCCTTTTAATAGTATCGATAAATAGCTTTTCATATATATACTGTATATATACATATATATTATAACTTTGAAATTAAATAGTATAAATTTGATGATAAATAGTATAACTTTGAAATACTTATTTTTGAATAAAATCAAATCTAAATAGTTTAAGTAATTTTATTTAAATTCTAGATAATAACTTAAAATACAATAAATACACTTTCTTAGATATATATATTACAATTTTAATTATTTTAAAATGAATGTATATTATTTTAGAAGTTTCAAACGGACCGGTGTAGGAATCAAAATCTGCCGAATAACTTATCTAACTGGGCCGTCCGCAACAAATATCTTTTTTATTTCTCCCGAAGGGCTAGTCTGCTAGATTCGATATCAAAATAATTATCTCCAATCCTACCCTGCTAAGCCCTACTGATTAGCAGGTCCGTGAGTGGATCTAAATAATATAATTTAAAAAAAATTAACATTAACCATTTAAAAATAATTTTTAATCAAAATTAATGAATATATAGATTTTTTACATTTTATTTTTAAACATTAAATTTACTTATCTTATCACATTTTTCAAATATTGAATATATATAACTATGTAAATATACTTATTTCTATCTATTAAAACTGAATTTTTATTAAATATTTGAAGTCCGCCCTCGAACCCACCAATCCGGGGAAACCCAAGTCCACCTGGGCTGGTCTACAAAACCCGCTATTTAACAGGGAAAATATTTAGTTTCCATACTATTTTTTCATTGACAAGTCCCGCTTGACATCTCCATAAATGATAAATAATTTTTTTATTAAAACTAATATTTTTGTCCATTTTCAGCTTGAAATATATATTTTCAAATAATTATAATATTGAATGTAGTTTTCGACGTTTTTATAAAATTTAGTGTGTTTTAAAAAATGTAAGTAACATAAACTCTTTGAAGATGATAAATAAAAGCTTCCTAACTATGAACAAAGTAACCTGAGAATTCCTAAAATAATTAATTTCGTGAGGACTTGACTTTGGAAACACATTAAAATGCTTTATAGACCAAATAACGCCATTAATCAACGAATTTCTTGGACCTAATTGAATTCAACAAAATATCATGGTTCGAAAGTATATGTACCAAAAACTAATTGAAAATTATGTTAACATGCTCATTCGTTGGTGCTTTGGGAGAACCAGAGAAAGGTCATTAAAACCAAGGGCAAGGTTCACGTTTGCATAGACAGGTTACTTTCAAGATGTCTGAACCACTTTTGGCTGCTTCTGTATAGTTCTCTTCTCTGCCCTCTCTCTCTCTCCCATTACCATTGTGAACCTTATGACTACAATTATTAACTATTCCCTTCGTAACTCCTCTTTTGGTCCTACACGCCATATAATAATTTTTATACCTTATCTATACGTATAAAACTTCTCTCTCTAGTCTTTATACAAGTATGCATACCACTAACACCTACACTTAATGCTTGCTCATCATCCATGGCTTACAATATGATTATGAGATCTTCATTATTCACTGACTAAACAAGAGAACATATATATGAGTTACGTACCAAGACAATTGTTTTCACTTATGTGAATACTTATGGCCTCCTTTAAAGGCCATCATTATTGGGGGTTTTTAATTTTGTATCTTAGAAATATTATAGTATTAAAATTAAAAATTTAAGAGGTTAGAGTATCTTAGAATTAATTTTGTATCTTATATAACACACTTTCTTACTCATTAAACTACTTTTTACATTTAATTTAATTACAAAATAATCTAAGATATTATCTAAAATCTCCCCCAATAAGGACCATCTTTAATGAGGAGATTTTTATACGTATAGAGAGAAGTTTTATACGTATAGAGAGAAAAGTTTTATACGTATAGATAAGGGTAAGGACCATGTTAGGAGGCTAAGATATCCCCAATAAAGATGGTCTAAGTCTTTTTAAGAGTAGCACTTTGTGCATAATTATGGTACATTGGTCATAACTTTTGGCTAAGTGTGCCGCTATTTTGTTATTTTGGGTTCGAAAAGTTAAATTTAGGTTTCCAGCCTTTTGAGTTTCTAAGTGAGTGATTTTAGATTTTCACTTACAAGAATTCATTTTTAGTATTTTTAATACGTTATTATATTAGTCATATTTCCATAATTTTATTTATTATACCATTTATAAAAACTACGCTATGTTTTTCTGCTATAAATGTCCATATTTCTTGTAGTGCTTGTGACTAATTGACTTTGCTCATGGAAATTTCTATTGTTTATCCATGGCTATGTGCATAATTGTTTAATTAGTACACAAACTATGGATTTATTAAAAATGTATATACACTGTTGTTATATCCAAAAATTAAATACATTTTCAAACCCTACCATATATATATCTCAACTCAAAGCTTTGTTGATACGTACGTGTACATATGAACAGTTCCTCGAGATTCAAAAACATTCACAAGGCGCGAACCATGTTCACTGATAATTACTAAACGAATGATATTTTTGACGAGAATCATGTGACACTTTCAAAACAGGTGTACCTGATCTTTTCCTTCATCATTTATTATCTCATAACACACACACAATAATACCAATTCTTCTCATCATCATCATCATATATATATAAACACTTGCTCCACCTTTTTTTGTTATCATACTTCTTCACACACTACACAACATACGTAGTCTTCTCTCCATATAGCTCATCTTCTTCTAGAAACTTCTCTTTTTGGAAACCCTCTGTCTCAACCAGAACGTTTTAGCTTTGTTATATATAAAAAGATGGCGAAGAAGTTTCTCCGGACGTTAATGTTAAGCGTCGTCATAGTCTTCGCCGCGTGTTCTTTGGTCGTTAACTCCATTCGCACGCCGCCACTAAGTCCGTCACATCAGTATCTTTTTAATTACTTTTTCTTTGTTATTATTATATTTACTTAATGATTTTTTATATATATTAATGAACTTTATATTTTTGGTATTTTGTAGAAGATACGGTCAATGGCGGAGATAAGAAAAACGCCGATGTAGAACAATCTCAAACTCACCACCACCACAAGGTAGGTTAGGTGCACTTTACATAGAAAAAAATTGATATATATATATATGTATCCTTAAAGATCAAATTTAATATTACACACTTTTTTCTAAATATAGCAACCGCCTTTGATTTTTCAGATAAATTAATGGCAGCAAACCGTGTTTTTCTTTTCATCCTCTTAATTAATTATGGATTTATTGTGTTTTTTTATGGTGACAAAAATAAAATATTTATAATGTTTCGATTTCGGATCGGATTCGGTTCAAAATTTTTCGGATTCGGATAATTCGGATTGGAGATTGTACTATATATTTGGTTTTTTTTAATGATAATTTGGTTTGAATAGATGTTGGATTCGGATCGGTTTTATGAGAAATAAAACTAAGATTTTTTTCAATTGTAATGGAAAATGGTTTCATTTGTAAAAATATTTGGTTAAATTTTATAACAAAAGTAGCTTAACTGTTTTGGATTTAGGCAATTTCGGGCATTTTGCTTTTCCTTAGGTATAAAATTATAACTATATATAGTAAAGATTTTTTATATAAGTTTTTTTAGATTTTCGTCGGATCAAGTTTTTTTTTTATCATTATTATTATTTCTTATACGGATCAAGTTCGATTCAAGTAATTCGGATAAAAAATTATCATACGTTCAGGTTTTATAACTATTTGGTTTGAATATGTAACCATATTATTTGTATTAGTTTCTGATTAGTTGTCAAATATCTGATTTTATGTCTGGTCTTAAAAGTTATTGTATATTTATTTTTCTAGGTGAAAAAAGAAATAACCAAAAAAGGAGGGGTAGAAATGGAAATGTATCCGACAGGATCGAGTTTACCGGATTGTTCATACGCGTGTGGTCCGTGCTCGCCATGTAAACGTGTGATGATTAGTTTCCAATGCTCCGTCGCCGAGTCATG